CAAAATGTTTGCAAGATGGACAGTTCCAGGAAAGTTGCTTTGCTATGCATTGTTTATACCAAAATAGAGTACTATCATTACTGTAAGTTCTCTTTTTTTGACATCTGAAACATGCCGCAAAATTAATAGAATTCAACAGTAATTGTTCTAAGGTCAAATGCCTTGTAATACTTTAAAATCTTTATGCATTTGGAAATGTTTTCATAGTCCAATCTGGGACATTTATTTCCTGAAATATCAACATTACTAAAAGCAAAGATGAAGAAGAGTATGAGCCAATGTACCGTTGCTCTTGCTGTCTCTGTTTCTATTTCTGCTGCTACCATAAACAAATCTGTTAGCAACACACTGGATTAGTTAACCCCCCAGGAGGCAGCTGGAGCAGGCCACGGAGGAGATGTGGCAAGTGGGCCACAGTGGGTAGATGAAGGGGTGGAAGAGTGAGCAGGGAGCAGTAACTGAACTGGGACATGGAGACAACTATTGCCAGTAATTGTAAGGGAAGGAAGGTTGAGATCCTTCTTTGGCAATATTGTGAGAAACACAGGACCAGCACAAACCAGTATCCATACAATGCAGTTTACTCCCCGTAGACACTTGTAATGAAATGCCACACCATATTTGTTATTAATCTCCATCACATTCACAGGCAAGCTGCTCCTATAACTTTCCTTCCCACAATGGCTGTGTGCAGCATGTATCTCCTCCCAGCTGGACTCAGCTTAGAAGCTTTTAGTGCATTTGGAGGAAAAGAGCAAAAGCAGGATGGGCTTTGCAAAAAGCTCTTCACTGCACCACTTGAGAATGCTTGCAGAAGTGCTGTCCAGGGTTTCCAACACAGAACAGGAACATTTTCAGTTTCATTCTGGGTCATCATTTTCTGAGTTACCTTGGATTCAGTGTTGGGTCCTTTCCTTGGATTTAGTGTTGGCCAAGCTTCAGAAGTCAGCTCCACTTCCAGCTTTGCCAAAGTGAAACCAGTTCCTGCTGCTGCAAAGGAGTGGCAGTTTCTGTTGCCTGTGTCATGTAGAAGCATTGAGCTGGTCCCACTCCATACTACTTGCCAGGGAAAAGAGGCGCTCAAGGCTGCTCGTAAGCATTTGGATATATGGGTAGGAGCCAGCCAAAGGGACCCTGCAGTACGAGAGGGCGTACACAGAAGGGGCAATCTGGTCTTAAAATGGGGCAATGCAGTGTGGAACAGCATCTAGATGACCACCAAAGAGAGGATAGTTAGGAACATCTCCACATGAACCTGAAAGCATATTCACTCAAGGTGTAGTTACTGTTCTCCCAGGAGGACTTGTTAGTATTAGCACCATGTAAAATGCTATGGAATAGAGGCATAAAGGCATGCTGTGCCTAGCTGTGAGGCACTTCCAGGCAGATGAACATTTAGCGCCTCGAATATATAAATACCCTTGTTATATAACAAGGTTTGAGTTATGTTTCTTACAGCCTTGGTGAAAATCGATCACAGCTCAGTCTCTCAGTGATATTCGGAAGAATATTTGCAGAAGCAAAATGACTCTCTCAAATGGCTGCCAAACCTTCCCATGCATAAGCTCTAGTATTCACCCTTTTTGTCCTCAGTTACTGCAGTCAGCAAGAAGGGCTGATTTCAAGCCTTAACTTCTGCTCTGAAGAGCCCAGGAGCACTGCTAGAATCCAACAGTCCTTTCCCAAGCACAAGTCCTTTACCAGGCTCCCTCTGCGGCAGGTGACATTAACACTTCTCCATATAGTTGTTCAGAAAGGAATGTTTTTTCACAGACTATTCATTGACATATAGCTCCCACAGCTAATTCTAAAGTGCTTTCTAACACCATAAACTATACACATTATAGAGATTAGAGCTGAACAAATATTTCACTATAAATCATTTATTCAATAAGTTTCATATGGTTTTTTTCCTATTTGTGAACTGTCTGCAAACTGAAAGCCAAATTCCCAAATTCATTCATTAGTCAAAATTGCCTATGAATTTCTCCTGCAGATAGTTTTTGCCCTGCAGGCCATTCATGGACAGTTTGTTATGAATAGCCTCAATTCAATGCTTGGTTGGTTTAGCTGCAGCAGTCATGTGGACGTGCCTCCGTTCTGAATGAAAATTCACTTTCAAATATGAACCAATATTCACAGTGAATTTCTCCTTCTGTTCACTCAGCCCTGGTAGGAATCAGCCTATTCAATCTAACTGGGTGGGTTAAGCTGTCCACATCAGCACAACGGGCTGGAAAAGGAACAGAGCAATGCCCAGTTGAAATTGTTCTGTATAAAGGCAGGATGGGAATACTCCGCTGGACGGTTGTGAAGTGTCAGAGTTGATGTCCTCACTCTTCCCTGAAGGGTGACCACCAGACATAATTGGGAAGATGACTACATCTACATCTACAGTGCAGCATCTCCTTGTGTAGCACAAGGATATCTGTTCTACTGTTACCCAAGAAAGATGGATGCTTTCTCCTTACTCAATATTCTCATAATGAAGTAATATGGGTGAGTTTTGAGCCACAGCCAGACCTAGGTCCCTCTTGCCAACCTGCTTTCCAGCAGGTTAATCCATTCAGCATGTTCCCAGGGTGTTTGTAAGCATCCTTTGCCTCTCTAGAGAAGAAAGTAGATGAAGTAGAACATAATGTGTTGTAAACACTAGTTTGAAGTTTGAGTTACCATTCAACAAGCCCGCAGTCTCCTCTCGTCCTGTTATCTGTCTCCAGCAGATGTTCTTCACATCAGATCACTGTGTCACAGTCCCTGCTGCTGCCAGTACTGCCAAATCCATCTGCTACTCACACGGGGGCTCTGAACAGCCACCGAGATGCACCTGCTGGTCCTGCTTCTCCACCAGCAGCACATCAGGGCAGCAACACCCTGAAAATCTCAGGCAGGTAACAACAGGGGCTGTGTGTGTCTCTCAGCACCACTGGTGTGCCCTTAGGAAGAGATTTCACAGGCTGATGCAACATTGCTAATTGTAAGGCTTCTTTTCTTATTTCTGAGGATGGAATTGCTCTGTGTAGCTATTTCATGACAAAGAAGCAAATCCAAAGGCCTTCTCAGTTGAGATTTCAGCTAAATACATTGGCAGCTAGGAAAGAATAGTAAATGTCCCCAGCTGGAGAGAATGTTGACTTTATGTTGAGAAACCCAAAGCCAGAAGAAACCAAACAAGGTGGTGGGGAGAGGGAGGAAAAAGAAAAAAATACCCAAATCCAGTAAAGAACTGCCAAACGTGAAAGCTTTTCATTTTGTGATGAAAAATATTTCTATTCCTTCCCATGAAAAGCAGACATTTGCTGTGAAAATATTTCATGGAAATTTCATATGAACTTTTTACGATCTTTCTTTTTTTGCCAGATAGTTTTGAAGGAGGTCTAGTACAGGCTGAATAATAGTTCTACATGTCTCCAAGATGCCATTTGAAAGGTATTTGTATTCTTTGTACAAGAAAAGCCCCATTACAGAGCCTTCAGAGTGTATATAAGATAACAAAACCTTCTCTAGACCTGTATTACCTTCAGCTTTGACCATGAAACACATTAAGCCTCAGTCTATTCAAGGCTTCTGCCATTACCCTCTCCAACATCTTTTTCCCAAAACACCTCCAAGCCTTTCTTCACCAGTTCTTTCCCCTTTGCAGTCCATTTGAAGCGTTTTGCTCTCATCTTGACAACTCACCTTCCACACACTTCTCTGCACCTGTTTCTTCACTCAGCTTTCTAGTAGCACCTTTGCTGAAGCCTCTTGAGTAGTCACTCTCTCACCTCTTCCAAAAGGGTCCCATGACCAAAGTTGCATCCCTGATCCTTTCTGTGAAGCTGTTTTTGCCATTCTTCAAATCTCTCCCTCCATGAGATTTGGTTTTCCAAGGTCTTCTCTCAAACGCCTCTGAGCAAATCCAGCATTCCACTGCTCCTCCAAACACACATACATTACTGAACAGGAACCTACAAAGGCACACATGAAATGGGCCCGCTCATTCATCTTACTGTCAGTCTACTTGCATCCTTCAGGAGAGCAGACTCCAAACTCCTTGGAACAACTGCCATGACCTTTTCTATCTTTAAAATTTCCTACCACTTTTATCATGATAAGAAACAAACAAACAAAAAAACCCAACAAATAAAAAAAATAAGCAGTACTTCACCTAGGATGGAGATGAAACCCCCTTTTGGTTTGCAGCAGCAGCTGTTAAACAGTGAACAGCAAAGCTGCATCACAGCAGGGAAGAATAAGAGGGAAAATCCTGTAGTTGGTTAAAACTACTTTAGTAGGAATTTATGGAGGTGAAATAATTTACCTTTCTAACTGTAAAATTTAATCAAATTTCATGCTTTTTACTTGCCGGGACACCTTGAGGGGGGGGGTCATAGCTGTGAGTCTTGTCAAAAAAACCAAACCAAACTAATCTGCAAACAAAACACATGTCATTTTATAATAACTTGGAAGAAATTGTGCACTCATCAAAATCACAGTGCCTCCCTCTGTGTATTGCCTGCTGCCACCTCAGCCTTGTAGTGGCTCAGAACAGCCCCTCACCCAGGCAGGCCTTTCTCCCTACGAAAGCGGGAGGGTGATGGACCCCAGCTAAAAGCACATCTGCCACTCAGTCTCCTTCAGCCCTTCCCAGGAAACACAGAGGATTTTTCCTCTCTGACAATGGCCATGGAAGACGTGAAAGTTGCACCCAAGGTTATACGAATGAAGGGTGCCAGGTCCTTCCTACGCAGCAACTGAATGATTACAAAGCTATTGTACGAGAAGGGGAGGGAAAAAAAGTGCATTGCTGGCAACTCTCTTACTCGATTTTGTTTTTCCCCTCCCACCCTCTCCTTTGGAGCTATGTAAAACAATAAGAGTAGGGAGAGATTTAGCTTAAATTAGGTTTACAAATAGCCCAGTGAATAGGGAAATGAGATGCATATGCTGCATGTTAAAGTGTCACCGCCACGCAGCCGGATGCGACTGGGATTTGGAAAGAAGCCGGGTCCTGAAGATTAGGTGCAAAAGACTGTCAGGAGCATGCTGGAAGGTTTCTTGGAGCGCAGCTTCCGAAGCGCTTGATGCTGCTGCCCCCCGACGGTCCCTCCTAGCAAGCTGCCCGCATGCCGCCCCGGCTCCGGCGGCTCAAAGCGGGCTGGCGCTCCGTGCTGCGGGGCTGCGGCGGGGCTCCAGCCCCGGCGCTGGTGGCCGAGTGTCACAGCAGTCAGGCCAGGGGAACCGGGGGCGTGCAGAGGTGACCCTGAAAGAAATCGTCATTTTCGAAGGTTTTAAGTGCAGTCATGGTCCGGAGGAAAAAAAGTCTATTAAAAATGACGACTCGGTGCTCTCTATTTATTCCCTGTCACTGAGATTTATTTTCCAGCCAAAGTTTTTCTTTTTTCTTTTTTTTTTTTTCCCCCCAAACTGCAGGCTCCATCTGGCAGCTGAATATCAAGCTCTGGTTTTGATACTTTGCAATAAGGGTACGTGTTGATAGTTGAAGCTGCTGCCTTGGCAGCCCTGGAGACCAAAGCCCTCTGTCCACAAGGTATCCATGCAGTATAGTCTGTCCACATAGTGTCACAGCTAGCTTCGTCCAAACACTGGCTCCCGCCAGCTCAGCTCACACTCTTTGTCTAGCAACAGCACTCTGTACCAGCTCACAAGGGCAACTAGTCTCCATGGCCCGCTTGACCTCCTTGCTAAGCCTGCTGGCAGGGGAGGTCAGGAACAGGGCTGGCTGTTTTCATTACTCCTTTTATATACTATCCTTGATGAATGACAGGTGACATGAAGGCTGTTTGTATCTCCATTTACATCTCTCTAGAGGAGGCGTGGGAAAATTTGGACGTAGATTCTCTCATCATCTGGGACACCAGGGGTTGTTATCAGCATTGATACAGAACCCCTGCACCTTGGACGCAGGCTAAATGCCAAGAGATAAGCAGCTGCCTGTTACACGGGCACCATTTTCACTATGAGGTGTGCTGCCATCACCACTGATTTACAGAGGGGTGGACAAGACTAAGTTGTTCTCTTAAGAGATGGTAGAACAAAGTCATTGGGTGCTGGTGAAATCATTGGACTCACCATCTTTACAACCTACCAGACAGCCTCCTGACTTCTCTCAGAGACTCACACTGGGGCTAACTAAGCCTCACCACAAAACTGGGAAAATCGGGAGAGGTGGAGGTAATTGGGAGGAGGCAGAAGATGGATGAGGAAGGAAGGGTGAGAGAAAGCCCACAGAGTTGAAAGCCAGAGAGTGAGGAAAAGGAAACTGGATGAAAGGCTTCAGCCTCATGGACTGGGGGGGACAGGACTGAAGAGGGTAGAGGACAGGGAAAAGAAAGGGGGGGGGACTGGAAGAGAAGGAATGGCAGAGTCCACAGGGAGGGAACAGACTTGTCAGCAGTAGGAGAGGCAAAGCAGAGGCAGGGGACAAGAGAAAAGTCCTCTCTGAGGCAAGCACCAAGGGAGGAAATAGTTTGGAGAGGATATATGGATGGAAGAAGGGAAGAGATGGAAAAAGCCAGAGAGGCCTAGGTCTGAAAGCACGAGGCTTAGGGAGTAGGACACTGTGCCTTTGGGACTTGGCTTGAAAAGACAGCTGCCTTGGGGATGAGGCATATGAGGAGGGACAGCACAGAGGAATATGCAGCTGCCCCTGTCTGTGCTGTGGCTGCCACTGTGCAAAGGAACTGCATTCACTGTGAAGGCTCTCAACAACTTCTCAACAAACAGCTGTTTTCACCAGCTCACCTCTGAGCACACTCCCTGATCGCAAGTAACAGACATGCTGCAAAGCTGTTAGTGCTGCAGCCGTCCTGTCAGGAGCAGCCCAGGCAACAGAGCTGATGCTTCTACCTGGTATCCTGAAAGAAAGCTGAACCACCACACAGTGCAGCATTGACAAGGTCCTGAAACCAGTTCGCCGAGAAGACTGGCTTTTGCACCACTCCATAGAGCAGCAACGCTCCTCCAGTCAGCAGGGCAAGTCTTAAAACCCACCTGCTGCTTCCCAAACCCAGTGGATGGTCCATATTTCAAGGCCACACAACACGGCAGCCAAAGCCCTCCATTTCCTACAAGAAGCACCAGAAACATGAAAACCATAGCTGCCTCTTTTTCTCCAGTTAGCAAAAAAGGTTTGTCTTTCCATCCAGGTCTGAGGAGGGCTCTGGGGTTAGCTGGGAGTGATAAGACTGCTGGCCAGGTGTACGCTAACCACAGCTCTGCCTGTGGAGGTAATACACAGTTCTCCTGTGCTTAGGGAACACCCCTGGGACTGAGTTTGCTTGATGCTAGATAAAACCAGCCCCCCATGGCTTTCCCGTCCACTGGACAAAGCTACCAGGTTTGCCAAAGGTGACTGGAATGGAATTAAATCCCTTCTTGCATCTCTTAAGAGCTAGTTTGAGCGTGGCTGGTCACCTGCTTTGAAGAGCTGCAACCCTGACAGAGAGGAGTGAAGGAACTAGGCAGTCTTGAAAGCACAGGTTGGCACTAGGGAAAATCTAGTCTCTGGTTACAAGTAAATTAATGAGAAGTACAGAGATCTGTATATTCCTAGCATACCCTCTCTGCAGCATCTGGCAAAGTTAACACCCAGGGCTGGCAATGTGCATATGAAGAAATATGTAGATTATCCTTAAAAAATAAAACTCTTATAAGGCAGTCAGTCAGAACCAATATTGGAAGCATTCCCTTTTATCCCTGTGCCTAGTAAGACTGCGGGCTCTCTGAGCAGAGATCTTTAAGAGCGAGTTAACTGTCTTTCAGCAAGGGAATAAATATAGTTGAACCTCTTAGGTTGGACCCTGTGGGGGTTGTGTGCGCACGGGCACACATGCATGTGCGTGTAGATTAGGTGATGATTTTTTTTTAAGTCATTCTCAAGCTTTGTTCTTTATGATTATATCAATTTTCCAGGTGGGGAACAAAAGTTTCAGAGAGACTAAAGGCAACATTTTCACCCTCAGGCTCCTATGTTCAGATTAACCAACAGGTCTGTCTCTGACATGCACTCCAAGCGTCCAGCTGTGGCCTCCTAGGATGGGTGTCTGCATCCCTACTTACCTCAGGTCATGCAGCAAGTCAATGACAAACTGAGAGCGAAACCCAGGTGTGACTAGTACCCGAGCAGCACATTTGCTGGATCACAAGTGCCCAATGTATTTGTCTTCATTTAATGTACTTTTTTTCTATCCCCTTGAGTAGTTTCCTTCCCTTAAAGGATATAAATCACATACCTACAAAGTAAAGAATTATTTAAAGAACATTTATATTTAAGCTCAAAAAGGAGTTTGACTTTAACTCCCTAGTGGCTGAGATGTGACTGGCTGGTGAATATAACTTGGCTTCACTATATGAAGATATTTTATGGCTTCAATACCAGCTGGCCTGCAAACCAGTGTTCATTTCCAGCTGGCCTGCAAACCAGTGTTCAGTACACTGGGGTGCTACTGTGGGTGAATACCCTTGCTGCAAGTTAACTTAATACTGCCTTTATTCATTTCACTTAAATTGAACTACACGGCTCTCAGCCCCAAATGCACACACGCGTGCGCGCACACACACACACACACAGAACAGGCTTTGCCCCAAGTTAACTCAATCAGTTTAACAGCTCCATTTCATTGCATGCTACTCTCAGGTGGAGACAAGGTAACAGAGGTTTCTCTTTACTTCTCTGTGTCACACCACAATTTCATTTTGTTCCTGATCCTATTGCTGATAACGGCTGGGGGGCAAATGCGGGAGTGGAGCCATTCCCAGTGACTTCAATAGCATTGACAGTAGCAAGTGTTAAAGGTAATCTGTTAGTATGAAAAGGGATACTCTTCCTGTTTATTAAGTATAGCTTAGCAGCAGAAACACCACCAGAAGCTTTAAATGAACAATGAAAAGGACCTAAAAGAAATTAATACATTGGGAAGAATCATCGTGACCATGTTCTAAGCAACCTAGCACCTAGTACCTGCTCTCTCCCACTACTACCTTGTGTAGCAGTTGCATTTGTGTGAGGGCTGTTCCCTCTGTGCTTCACTCTAACAAGCAATGGATTTGCCACAGCTCTGAATAACACAAGTCTAATGCTGAGACTTAAGTTTATGAGAATTGAAATATGATGCAAAGATACATGGCCATTACATCTACAAGACAGACAGTCACTGATAACTTCCAAAAACAGTTGTAAAAGAAAATAAAAACCTACAGCTCAAGAATCCTTTGTGGCCAATGAAAATCATTTAAAACTGGCAGAGACTGATTTGATCAATTTCAATGCAGACCTTGAACTCCATGCTCAGAAATATGACACAGCCGTCAGGCACTGCAGCTCCCTCCCAGCCAGTGGACAAGGAACTTCGTGTCAGTTGAAAGAAACGTTAGACCTACTGTGTATCTGGTGTGTGCTGGGGAAAGATGGGGGGACAGTGTTTATATTAAAGCCCAGCTGAAAGGCTACCAGAAAAGCCCCATTGGCTGTATGTTCTTGACTTGACCAACAAGAATAGAAATGAGGGCATGACATGGAAATCCTGATTAGAAGCTGCATTTCAAAGGCAAACAGTATTTGTGAAGTAGCTGGGCTTAGAACTGTGGTTTGGACCATTTCATAGACCAGCTTTTGGTAAACACAGATCTGGAACCAAGCTCTGATTTCTAATAACCCAGGAGCCCGCTGCCTGGGGCTGGAGATGGCTCTGTGTAAAGTGAAAAGCTTTGGAATCTTGGTCCCATCCAAAATCTGTTAGGGTCATGTTTCCTATTTCCCATCTGCACATAGCTGAAAAGAAAATCAAACTTGGGAAGTTTGCATATAATCACCTTGCCTTTTGAACCAAACCCTCACCAGACTTGCCTGAGCAAGTACTTCGCTCTCATATCTGAACCCAAACTCTAGATGTCCTTGATGTTGCAACTAATCTGGGCCCATTACTGAGCCTGGACATGGGCGCTGGTTTCACAAGGTCACTGAAGCCTTGGATCCCCAGAGCTGGCTGGCAGGCAGGCAGGCACGTAAGACTTAGTTTGCAGTGGCTCTTCTGCTGGGTGCTCTTCTAAGCTCTGAAGCATTGCTCCGGTGTGGAGGAGCTAGAAAACTCAGCCAGGCAGCTCCTCTCAACCTCAACAGCAGGGCAGAAGGACAAATTTAAGTCAGTTGTGAGCCCATAAGAAGTCAGTTGCACTGCTGGATACAGTTAAATAAGGAAGCAGCAGCTCTTTAGAGTAACTATTTGTGTCCCATCTGTTCCC